AAACCCTAACCCTAACCCTAAATCTCTAAACTCTAAATCCTTCAAATTAAAGTAAATCTTCAATGGTTTTTGTGCAAATTCATGTGCGTTATTGTTCATCACATCATAAGTGATGATTGACATCATTTTTACATAAATAGCATTTTTAAAATGATGGTTATGAAGTGAGTGCACTGAACGCACCCAAAAAAGTGAGTACACCGAATACGCCACCATATATATATATATATATATATATATATACATACAAAATACGTAGTAATTTAAAAACTTAATGAGTGAAATAAAATTTATCTTACACATATCTATTTAAAACTTATTTCTCACAAAATAAAAGAAAAAAAATTACAAAATACACATATCCTTAAAACAATTTCCCAAAATACACATGTTTTATAAAAATTTCCCAAAATACACATGTTTGGGCATCACTGCGGTCGTCAACCGCAGTGAATGCATTCACCGCGATAGACGAAAGTAATGAATGCATCACCGCGGTTGACGGCCGCGGTGAATACCTGACCTAACAGTGAAACTTCAAACGAACGCAACTTTGTGCTCGGTTATCCTATTGTAGCGAATTTTTTTTTATTCCATATAACTTTTCAAGATCTTTCAATCTGCAACAAGCTTTCATCCCAAAAATATGTCGTTTGCTACCCCGAACGAGCAATTTTTCGATTTCGACAAAATTTGGAAGACCATAACATTGTGCTCCTCAACCCGAATGTCATGAATTTCTTTTATTACGCATAACTTTGACAAAATCGAAAAATTGCTTGTTCGGAGTAGCAAACGATTTTTTTTTTTTGGGATGAAGGCTTGTTGCAGATTGAAAGATCTTAAAAAGTTATGCGGAATAAAAAAAAAAAATCGCAACAATCGGATAACTAAGCGCAAAATTACGTTCGTTTGAAGTTTCATTGTTAGGTTAGACATTCACCACGACTGTCAACCGTGGTGATGCATTCACCGCTTTCGTCTGCCGGTGAATGCTTTCAGTGCGGTTGACGGCCGAAATGATGTCCAAATATGTGTATTTTGTGAATTTTTCATAAAACGTGTGTATTTTGGATTTTTTTTTTAAAACATGTGTAGTTTGAGATTTTTTTCAAAACAAAACCTATCAACTCCCCATGACCCACCCCCACAGATCCCTTCTTTCCCCTCCTCTCTTCCTTCTCTCTTCTTCTCCCTCTTTAAAGAACAGATCAAAGACTTTCTAAAGGCTATTCTAAAGACTGACTTTGATCGAACCGGATCCATCCGGTAGGGGTTTAACAAGAGGATTGTTATTTGCCGCCCGTCTCTTTACTATTTGCCGCCCGTATATTTAGTTAAAATGACTTTTTTGCACCCATCAACACTCCTTCCATCACCCTCACACCATCACCTGACCACCATTGTCGGCAGAACCACCATCTCTGGATTTACCACCGGCGGATCACCACCGCCAGAGCAAACCCCCGGCCAACCACCATCGCCGTCAAACCACCGTCGCTGGAGCCATCGAATGAGGTAACGACCCTCCACCTCCCGACGGTTTCAATATCGTCGGACCCCGTCCGATCGCCTCCGGCGGACCCCGTCCGTTCGCCTCCTTCGGACCCCGTCCGATCGCCTCCGTTGGACCCCGTCCGATTGCCTCCGTCGGACCCCGTCCGATCGCCTGCGGGCGGACGATAAAAAAAAAAAGTCGGACCTTGACGACGAGCGACGGTGGCGGTAATTTTTTTCTCCGCGGCGACGGCGGCAATCACTTCCCACTTCTATTACGAAAATAATAGTGGAGGGATTACAGGGGAGTGATTAAATTTACCTATTGGAGACAAACAAGGGAATTAAGAAAACCCTAAACTTACCTTAATTAGGCAATTAGACGTTAGGTTATGCAATTAGAGGGAATAAGTTAATTATTTGATCTCTGCCTAAATCACTACAAAACCATCCAAATCAGTAAATATATTTAGGGTTTACTAGAGCCATCGAACTAAAATGGTCACTTTTTGCATTGTATCAATTTTCGCATTTACTAGAGCCATCGAACTAAAAATTATTGAAACCCTTGTTGACCCTCTAAAATATAGATACGAATATGGTGGAATTTACCATTTCTCGATTGGGCGTTCCAGACAAAAATAGATGAATATTGCCAAAATTTCCATCGAGATTTTTGGGGGCTCTGTGAATCATAAAAAGGTATTTCTTGAGCCTATCATGCGTATTTCAATGATGCAAACAAATGTTGTTAGTGGAAGTAGAAACGATTTTACCTCTAAGACAATGTCGTAGTAGGATTGGATGGATTGAGGTTGAAGTTAGCTATTTTATGGGAATTAGGGTTTAGGGTTTGAGAGGTAGAATGTGTAGAAAGTGAAGATTTGCTTTCATCTTTTGTTACCGTTATCCTTGTTCCGATTAGATTAAATATGAATTAATCTAGCTAATTCCAGCCTCACCACATTTATTCATTAAACTAATTTTACCAAACAAATTAAAAAAAGAATTACTTTAAGTAATTAAATTAAACCCTAATCTCACTAAACCCTAATTGGTCAAAGTCAAACCCTAATTTGTCAAAATTAAACCCTATTTTTTCAAAGTCAAACTCTACCTTATTGCTTAATTTTTTACTACGTAAATAGTGATAAAGGAAAGAAAATAACTTAAAATTGAAAATAATAATAACATAATATAAAACCTGTAAACCACTAATATCTACATGCACCACTAATTGCCCAATATGACAGAGGGTTGCTTTCCTTTTTCATTTTTTTTTTACAAAAGGTAATCATACATTAGATCAAAAAGATAGTTACATCCTGGAGATCAGCCAGGTCTGAAAATCAAAATGACGGTGCATAGCCGGGTACAGAGTGAGGGCCTTACGAGCCACTAAATGGGCTACCCTATTGGCACGCCGACCTACAAACCGAACAGAAAACCCTGGATTGCAGGACAAATAATGCAACACCTCCTTCAGTATAGCTCCTATCCTGCCATCTCTAACATCCATCCGTTGGAGCTTCTCAATGACACCCTTGGCATCTCCCTCGAAGCGCACACTAGAGAACTCATGCCCAATGCACCAGAGAATCGCGCCCCGCAAGACCAGCAATTCCACCACCAGAGGATCTTCAATGACGGGGATTTGGAACCCATTGGCCATTATGAGGTCCCGGTTCGGAGTCATCAGCACCATCCCTCCTGCAGAATGCGATCCCATCCCAACCACAGATAACCCCCGACACCTCGTCCTGGTTCGAATGATGGGCCTCCGCAGCAGCAGGGATCGCACTTGTTTTATCAACCGGGAGGCTCAGCCACTCCTCATATTGTTGCGTGAACTGGCGCACCAGTGCTTCCACTTTATACTGCTTACCCTCGAAGACCACCCAATTACGAGATCGCCAAATACGTCAGAGGACGGCCACTACCGCCATGAACAGAGCAGGGCACTGGATGAGAGCCATGACCTTCTTGAGAAACAAGGGAAAAGAATGACGCGACAATCCTTCCCCGATATGCTCAAGGCCCGCAGCACCCCAAAGAGCCCTGGCTACCTGGCAATCCAAAAAGAGGTGTTCCATAGTCTCTTCCTCTTCCCAACAAACCGGGCAGCGATGATGGACCACAATCTTTCTCTCCCGCAAGGCCTCTGTTGTAGGAAGGATTCGACGAAAGATCTGCCAGAGAAACACCTTTAATTTCGGCGGGATGTTAGCCTCCCAAAGGCGAATCCAGCTTCGACGATCCAACCAGTCTACCCCAGCCCTCCAACGACCCCTGCGCCTGTCCAAAGCGACCGCCAGATGGTAAGCCGATTTCATCGAAAAATCACCATCTGTCGTATCATGCCAGATTAGCCTATCCTCCACATTTACACACGGGAGAGGAATAGCCTTAATATTAAGGAAATTTGTGGAAAAAGGTCATGTATTTTAATTGAGGAAAATATTTTTTGTTATTAATTATGTAAATATAATCCGTCAATAATAGTCTCTCAGTTACTTCAATAATATATGTTATTATATTGGTTTCATTGTTTTCACCCCTATAATTAAGAAAAAATTACCATGATTATATTAGAACTTTCCAAATCATTACGTACATAAATAGAAACCACCACAAATCATAATTTAACATAATATTTAATTGATTTATTAATAATTCTGAAAGAAAAAATTCATCAACGGCTACCGTCCGACCGTCGGAGTCGGACCCCGTCCGCACGGCGACGTCGGTCCCCGTCCGCAAGGCGACGTCGGACCCCATCCGCACGACGATGTCGGACCGTCCTCCCCATCCGCAAGGCGAGCTCCTTCCTCGACGGCGGCGAACTCCTTTCTCTTCCGCGTCGGCTTTGTGAGTGGGGGAGTGAGGGAGGAGGAGGCGGGACCTCGGCGCCGGTTGCGGGAGGAGGAGGTTGGTCGGCGCCGGTTGCGGGAGGACGGAGGATATTGGTCGGCGGCGGTTGTGGGAGGAGGGGTCGGGTTGTCAGAGGATAGGTAAGATAGATTTAGGGTTTAGTTGAAAGAAGGGTAAAATCGTCTTATGTTTTGTAACTATGGGCGGCAAATAGTAAATACTAGGGCTGCAAATAGCGATTCACTTTAACAACTTGACTCCTTGAATGCAATACAACTCGTCCAACTTACAAAAGTGATCGACATAGTGACTGACCAGTGTGGTGTGGTTAAGTTTAAGTTCAGAGACATGGGTTTATGACCGTTGGAGAAAGAAAAGGAAAAGGCACACACATTCTCTCTCTTTCCATGTACCCAGTTACCATTTTACTAGATGACAAAAACTGAAGAAAAGGTTCCAGCTTTGGGCTCACTTCCCTACAAACACACAGCCCATCTCACCCTCCACGCACAGAGACAGGACACACTGTGCCCCTGCCCTTGTGGTACACTTTTTCCTATATATAACAATAAAAATAAAATCATAACTTATATTTGAAATTGGGTTTCTTTTCTTCTTTTAATTAGCATAGTGTCAAAACCAAACAAAGTGTCCTATATAAAAAAGCTGTCTCCTTTCCTTTCTCCTCCCCCAAACCCATTTCATACATTCATTTGCACACAACACACAGTCACTTGCTTCCACCCACCACCGTCATTCATCTCTCCCCTCCTTTCTTCTTTTTCTCCTCCTTGCTTAACCAGCTACCTCTCTTCATTCTGTTTTCCTGAACATCACCACCACTAACAATGGCTGTTCTTGCTGCCTTTCTGGTCTTCTTCCTGGCCTTAGCTGGTCACTCAAGTAAGTTCCTTCTTCCTCCCTTTAGAAAATCTGGGTTAATGTTCTGGGAAGGAAAAGATTGAAGTTTTTCATGGAGATTTGAAGGAAAAGAATTAAGTATTCATTTTTCCCTATTTTTATTTTGGTAGGTGCAAATTACTGTCTCTGCAAGGATGGGGTGGGGCAGCAAGCTTGGCAGAAGGCCATAGATTATGCGTGTGGAGCTGGAGCTGACTGCACTCAAATCTCTCAGAATGGAGCTTGTTACCAGCCCAACACTGTGAAAGATCACTGCAACTATGCAGTTAACAGCTACTTCCAGAGGAAAGGTCAATCTAGTGGTACCTGTGACTTCAGCGGAGCTGCCTCGCCTAGTGTCACTCCCCCAACCGGTATGATGAAATTTCTGGAAGCAAAAATAGGAAGTTGGAGAATACTCTTTGCATCAGATTTTCCTAATCTTCTCTGTTACTGACTTTTCCTCTTCCATTCCTCCCTGTTGTTGGATGATCTTTCCAGGTGTAGGTTCTACCTGTGTTTTCCCTGCAAGTCCCGGGTATGCTTCCCCCCCTGTCCTCTTTTAGATTGTTCATCTGCTGGTAACTTTAGTTTTGGATTTGGATGTTTAGCTTCTGTTCAGTCTTTTGTTTTGAACCGTGAATATGGAGCTTGGATTTAGCTTTGCATAAGGCAAGGCAGTAAAAGATAAGACTGTTGTTTCAGCACATATTCTACTAGGAAATATAGGAAAAGTTAGATCTCAGGAGCTGCAGCCTGCAGGACACTATATCAATTCATTGTCCTCTCTCCCTCTCTCTCTCCCGCGTGGGTTGAGAAAACATGAGTTGTCATGATGCTGATGTATCATAAGCTCGTCCTCTTTTTTCCTTTCCCCATTAGGCCATTATCATTCTGTTTGACATCTGTTCTCCAAATGCTACACTAGGGATCCATGAATGTGGAACATATTTTTTTTCTAGTAATCCCATGACCCCCTTTTAGGTTTGTGTTTGGATTTAGCAGCAAAGCATCTGGCTGTCCAAGTTAAGTTCTCATTTTTGACATTAGGGTTCTTCCCTTTCTCTCCTTCTGTGGACTTTTGCAGCAATGCTGGAACATCACCAACAACAAACCCAGGATCAACTACTCCAGGAACAGGCACAGGCATGGGTACTCCCACCGGCACCGGCACCGGCACCGGAACTGGAACAGGCACCGGAACTGGAACAGGCACCGGAACTGGAACGGGCACGGGCTCAAACACTGGAACAGGAATAACTACTGGAACCACACCATCAGTATTTGGGACAGGGTTAGGTCCAACTGGGAGTGGAACTGGCATTGGTGATAGCAGTGGTGTGGATTCCAGGAAAGTTACAAACTTGTTCATCTTTGCCTCATCCACTTTGACCCTCTGGGTATCTGGGCTTCTCCTGGTATCTGGGTTCTAAGTAAAATCAGATGAGGAAGAAGGATTTGAAAGTGGGCAGTGGTTTGATGTGTGGATGAGATTTTGCCAGAGCACTAGCAGCATATGATATTTTGTTGTAGAATGGAGACAACTCAAAGTGTAGAGGTGGGAAGAAGAGAAGAGAATCATCATCTAGAGCAGCAAACCCCACCGAATTAGGGGTTTCTTTTTCTTTTGTTGTTACTTTTCCAATCTTTGATCCTTTTGAAAAACCCAAAAAAAGGTAAGATGGGGGAATGTGATTCCTTTATTTGAGTGGGTTGTAGGATGGCTGGTCGTTGTAATTGTTGTCTGGACTTTGGATGTAGGGTTGGGACTTGGGAGACTCGGGAGAAGTGAGAAGAAGAGAACCTCCTTGTCTCTTCTTTCTCTCCTTTCTTCCTTTTTTTTAGATGTTAATTATGTAAGAAAACAAGCATTCCCCATTGTCTGGTTGTTGTATATCTAGAGAGGGCACTACTTTGTGGTAGCAGCAAGTAGTAATTTTAGCAGTAGTCTTTTTATCTTATCCTTTCCCTTCCAGTTACCCTAATGGAACTATTTACTCCATCTTTAGACTACTGTTTCTACTTTCTGTCCTTTGTGTTTCTCTCTGTTCATTGGCATGTGGGAATGCTGCTGTCACTGCAGTGGGCATGCTTGAAATCAATCATCCATGTCCTTGTCTGTTCTTCTTCTGTGGTCTATCTGCAACTTTTTTCCGGGATAGACTGTCTTTATGGCCGACCATGTTTTACTGATTCTGGTGATGCCTTGTGGAGTCATAATAGCGTGGGGTTGTACTATATCAATGTAGGAATTGACTGCAGAACCATCATCGACCAATATCATTCATATGACGCAGAAGGCTAATGTTTTGGTGGTACTGATTATGGCATCAACAAATTACTAATGTCGGGCAATGAACAGATGGCGGGATATATTGTATGAGAAGAAGAAACCCGGTTTTGGCAGTTGAGCAGAGCAGAGCCCAACATGTTCCAGAGCTTACTTCTTACACCGCACGATCCTCAAGACTCCGTAGAAAACTTTGAAACGCGGTCCTGCTTCGTGCATCTTCACGAACACACCTAGGGTGGAAATCGGTACGGTATCGGTATCCCAATCCCAAATACTGAAATTCCGAATACCAAATTACACCCTAAAGTCAATCTCAATCCCAATCCCTAAATAATTTCGGTATCCCAATCCCTAAATATACTGGTATCCCAATCGGTACTTCGGTATCCCAATCGGTATTATCGAATACGAAATTAATTACCTTTACAATTAATAATTAAATATATAAATTAGATTTTATTGTTTAATTTAGGAAAAAAGATTAAACAAAGAGTCTTGAATTAGGATATTATTAAGGAGAATGGAGGAGAGGAGACATCTCAAGTTCTTGTCATTGGTAGTCTTTAATTTGACGAATTAGAGGTTGACAAACGACTATTAATAGTGATGGAATGATCTATGTATAATTAAATGACACTTTTGGTGGTTGAGGGTCGCATAGTAGTGAATGAGAGAGTCTAGTTGAGAGGATAAAATACACACTAGCTTATATTTCGGTATTGATCGGTAATTCGGTATATACCGATCCCAATCCTGTAATCCCTAATACCGAATAACAAATAAAATTCAATCCCAATCCTAATCCCAAAAAATAATTCGTGTATTCGGTAATACCAAATATAGACAAATTCAGTACGGTATTCGGTATATCCCAAATACCGGTACCAAACTTCCAGCCCTAAACACACCAAGCAGAGTTGAAGATCACATCAAACCCCTAGGAAATTTAGCAAGAGTACCGATCCCGTGGTAAAACGGGTCATTTGGAGTTGTGAGGGTGTCCAAAAATTATGTTTTACCATTTTCCACTATAAGCTTAAGTTCCCTAATATAAGAGAGAACAAAAGGGTGGGTATCATTATCATGTGAACATGAAGCAATCAACTTTTCCGGCGCGCAATTATTGGGTCATTTTACGAGTCGAATTGCTGGTCATTATTGGAGGGAATAAAGGCTGCTACCATAAGCATCAATGGCAAAGGTTTGATGTAAAGTTGAAATGAATATGATAAAGGGCCTTGACCAAATTCAACACAGCAAGATCTTTGATCAAAGATACCACTTGCTTGCTTTCCCATGTCAGTACGGTGATTTAAATAAATAATTAAAATAAAGAAATATTACTATCTATGTAAAAAAGTATTTACAAGGATATTATGATTTGGAGGCGAAAATGTGCGATCATGAGCGAGCTGAGCGAAAAGTAAATAAATTTAGCTCAGTTCATGTAACGCCACGCGAGTTGAGCGAAAAGTAAATAAATTTAGCTAAGCTCATGTAACGCCACGCCAGCTAAGCGAAATAATTTCTTAGTATGTGCGGCACCACACATTCTTTCTTCTTCGTCTACCACCAGCACCAAATAGATCCTCCGGGGATAGCTTCCTCCTCGTCACTGGAATCACGGTCGGAAGAGCGAGCGGTGGTCATATGGGAGAGATTGTTTCCTTCGTCGTTGCTGTCGCCTTTCGTTGACGCGGAGGGAGAAGAGGGGAGAATGTGAGATGTGGATCTTTGTATTTTGTTATGCTCGCGCTCTATTTCGCTCAGTTCGTGCGACGCCTTGCGTGTTGAGCTAAACTACCCCACTTTCGTTCAGTATGAGCGTGGTCGCGCATTTTTTGCCTCCCCGTCACAATCCTTGTAAATACATTTTTTACTAATATATATGTGATATTATTTTTTTACTTTTACAATATTTAGGTAAAACACCCGTGTTAGCAAGGGGTTAAATATACCGGTTCCCATTTAGCTATTGCACGTTCATTACTTTTGTTACGACTAAAGTATGTATGTCTATCTTGGGTGCAATGTCACCATTTCCATCTTTATACATATTTCCTAACGGTAGTATCCAAATGGTAATTTTTTGTAACACGCTGACATTCCAGGTAAGCATAGATGCTGACTCATATGTGGGCCACATTTAACCATGGGCCCACTAACATAGAAAGAAATTTTGAGGCAACAATAGAAGGTGATCAGCTAACTTCTTCTATTTCTACTTTCTATTCTCTAGAATAATTCATAAACTAAAAAGACAAAACTCCTCTTGAAAGAAAAGAATTTAGCATTATATATAAAAAAGGAAACCAATTTAGCAAGACGATCGTGAGAAGAAAGGAGCCTAATTTAACAAGTAGATCGTGAGAAGAAAGGAGAACAAAATCTTCACAACTTATATCATTCCAAGTAATTGAATCAGGCTCATGCAACTGCAATTCCTTCATTCCTCCATTAATTTTAGATTTCGTTTGCGAAAAATTACAATCTAGGCACCTACAATTAGGTATGTGGACAGAAGTTGTGACGTTGCAACCGGAATACGACATATATACTTTAGTTGCAAACAATTATTTTAAGTGGTGCACGTGCAACTGTTTCAATAGTTAAGTGTCAACCGAATTTTGTTGTTGTTGTCGTTCGTAGCTTACTTTAAAAGGGAGAAGGCAATGAAAGCGAATTGGTAACTAATCAAAGCTTGAAAGGCTTCTTCTGACATCTAATATATCATTATCAAGGTTGTCAACCCACGGGTCGACCCGACCCTGGCCCGGTGAGAAAATCAGGCCGCATGCACCCCGTGGGTCGACCGTGATAGAACCTGGGATTAGGGTTCTATCGGGAATTGGGATTTAGGGATTAAGAACGTAATTAGGGATTTGAGAAGAGAAAGATAGAGAATCGGCCTAGGCCTTTAGAGGGATTGAGATCTAGCCTAATGTGACTCAAAATCCTAGTAATAATTATTATTATTATTATAGAACCCGGAAATTGGGTTTCCATCATCTCCTCCCCTTGAGACCAACCTTGCCCTCAAGGTTGACCAACTCAACCCACTTCTTCACGTCGTACGTGCAATCTGCGTCTTGGCTCTTCCACCTCTTGCGCTTCTTTTTCTTCCAATTATGATCCAACTCACGAATGAACTCTTTTATGAAAACTATAGCACCTCCTGGCTCCTTCCTGACGATGTGGTGCATGTCCCCTTTTTCGCTGCTACATAGTTCTTCCTTCTTTTCGAATTCCACAAAGTAAGAATATGAGAACTGTTCTTTCATAAGCCAACTCTCATAATCCTCTACGAATTCTTCCATGGACCGCTCCTTCGACTCCACCATGGGATTAGTGGCGACCAATCATAACTCCTCCCAATTTCTTTTCCATCTTCCTTGACTCGGGCCACCATAGCTTGAAAGAAAGAGTTGTGGAGCCCAATCTTTCCCTCATGATATGGCCCACTCTGTATTGCAACGCCCAACAATTTCTTCCAAAATGTTATTGGCTGGTCTATTTTGGATTTTGGCCAGCAGATGACCCACTCCTTCGGCCCGTTAAGTTGAGCTAAATAGCTCACGAGGGTCCCATCGAGGCCCACTTCTCTAGCCAGCCTTCCTAACTGGTCTGCATTCTCCTTCCTTGCAAGCCCGCGACCAAAATTCATGTCCTCTTTCACCACCCCACAGCCCGCTCCTCCTGGCCCAAAATCTGGCCCGCACGAATCACAATCGGGCCGACTCCTAGGCCCATGGGAGATGCTCTGTAGGGTTTCGTGGGAGGTTTGAAGGAGCAGCTGCTCACACGAAAGCCGAGTACCGTCGCCGCCAACGAGCTCCTTCTTCCTCGGCGAACACTTTGCCTCTTTCTCCGGCAATGCTTCGTTGCCCGGTGTTGAGCTCCTCGTCACCTCCTTCTCCGTCAACCTCGCGTGGCGTCGTGGAGATTTCAGCCTGATCTTCTACTTTGAAATTTGTCGCCGACCCATCACCTCCGTTGTAGCTCTCCTCCTCGCCTAGGAGCGCCCGCGACAGCTCGTCCTCCATTGGCGGCGTTGTCCTTGCCACCGGTCCACATTGCCTTGTTTCAGCAGCATCGTTGGCCGCAGTTGTGAATGCAGCAAAAGTCGCGGCATCGTCCAGAACCGGCCAGCCGCGCTCTCGCGCCTCTCGATCGAGCTCGGCAAGGGATTGATGGAGCTGCCGTGTTAGTCGAACCCATTTTGGATCAAAGAGCTATGACGAGCTCATGTTGGCTCTGATACCAAAGGATAGAACCTGGGATTAGGGTTCTATCGGGAATTGAGATTTAGGGATTAAGAACAGAATTAGGGATTTGAGAAGAGAAAGATAGAGAATCGGCCTAGGCCTTTAGAGGGATTGAGATCTAGAACTGAGAAGATTGGGAGATTAGGGTTTAGGAGAGTTTTCTTAATATTCTTCTTGACTGATCATGAATAAATCACAATTCCTCGATCGAAAAAGAAAATGGTGAGAGGCGCTCTGTCCTCTCTCCTCGAGCTGTCTATCTGGGTCGGCGGATGCCTAGTTCAGGGGTTCTTTTCCTGTTCGCGGCCAGTGTGAAGAATCAGCAATCATCCTGGTATAGATTCACCTATCCTCTTGGAGAAGATGATGCCATACCCACTATCGCAAGGCAAACGAGTAAGCCTCCGGGCAGAATGTTTGATTGCAAATGGAAACCCTATGAAAGGAA